ATTTGCATATTTTACAGCCCGAAATTTGGTACTGCTCCCATCGTTTCCCATGGCTTTCAGCATCTGCTTTTACCCACCACAATCGCTAAGCTTTTTTGTGTTTTCCTACAAAAAGCTCTTGAAGCTGTACTGACTGCTGGGTAAGGCCGCTGAATCACCCTGGCATCGAAATAAGGACTGACACTAAGAGAGAAGGGGGGGAGGAGAAACGGGGTTCCGAGCTTAGCGTCCACTTGACGTTAAGCGTAAAAATATCAAGGTACTGTCTTCCCTTAGCGTATTGAAACATCAGCGCTGTACTTGCGATATATGCACTGCGAGGAGAATTAATTCTTACACTAGAGTTTTGGAACAGTTCTGATACTAGAACGCCAACATAAGCAACGAACTCAATTAACGTGTATCTGCACATATGCTGTAGTGGTTGGGTCGTTTAGACTCCTTCACAAGCTGCGCAAGTTCTACGTGGTGACTTTGTCACTTATGTGTGGTCCATGTGAGAATTGGCTCTTGTGAAGCCCCAGTCCACTGTAGGATTACCCCAGATGGGCCAACCTTACGGAACTATGGTACCGGAAAATTGACGTTAAGTGTGCAAATCTCAAGATACTGTCTTCCCTTAGCGTAATGCAACATCAGCGCTGTACTTGCGATATGTGCACTGCGAGGAGAATTAATTCTTACACTGGAGTTTTGGAACAGTTCTGATACTAGAACGCCAACATAAGCAACGAACTCAGTTAACGTGTATCTGCACATATGCTGTTGTAGCTGGGTCGTCTAGCTTCCTTCACAAACTGCCCAAGTTCTGCCTGGTGACTTTGTCACTTGTGTGTGGTCCATGTGAGCATTGGCTCTTGTGAAGGTCCAGTTCACTATAGGATTACCCCAGATGGACCAATCTTACGAAGCAATGTTACGGAAAAATGGTGGAACAGGCAAACTGGAGCAAACGCCGCTGGGCCTCGTTAGCTGGCCTCGCAAGAAGGATGCTGAATCCAAGCTTTGACGGACATCGATCAGGCTTCATCCGATTCGCATGATGACTGCGACAGCCGCCTGGTCGTGCTTTCCATGAGACAGATGTTGATGGCCGACGACGCTGCTTCAAGCGCATGAACTGAATCCAGCGCCAGCCGATGCTAGCAGTCCATACCGGCTCACAGGCAGACAGGGTGTTTCAAAATCTGATGATTGCATTGCCTGCAAAAGACCTTGGGCTTTTTGGCCAAAGGCTGAACGAGATAACGTACGTAATGTTGTTATTGCACGCGTGCAATTTTAGCCACATATGATCTCGGCGTCGTTGCCATCCAATGGCTATACAGCTATTACTATCGAGGCCTATTTCTATCGAACAAATAGTTGCAAGAAAGTGTGCAAGCGCAATGGCATTCGACATCAAACGTGTGTACTCCGCTTGCCTGATGATGCTTCGAGGGAACTGAAGGGAACATATTGAGGACCACTGTGTGTTGCGCAACAATGAAGCCCTGTGCATTTGAGAGTGACCGCCCATTTGCATGTGCGCCGCACTGTGTTCATTTTGTAATCAACATGCGTGCTCGCGACCACTTTTTAGCGGAAGTGGAGTGGCCAAAAATTTCATCCCACATATGGTTTCTAACCGAGTTCAGAAAGTGCTGAAATGAGACCAGATTGTGTATCTGGAGTTTAAACCGCGCTAAGATCCACATCGTGCCACATCGTGCAGTTGTGGCCGTGTCCTCAGTGCCATCACCTGGAATCCATTGACCCCACGTCAGGCTTGGTCTTTCGGCATAAACACGCACTATTCAATCGTACTTAAGAAAGTTAAAATGTTGAGATTTTGTCATATTCGAACATAACCAATGCAATAATTCTTACACGTAAACATGCATAAATATGGTCTTTGTGCGCGGACAGCCAGCGCGTACAGACGCAGGCCTGAGTCCCTAGGGAGTCCCGGAGTGGCAGCTGGACGCGCTAAGGCTGGCAGAGGACGACCGTTTGCTGGGCGACGTCGTTGCCCATGCCCATGGCGATGTCGATGCTGAGTTGCGAGTGCACGCACAATAAAATTGCAAAAAGATGGCCGTGAGGAAATGCGATTTTCGCCTTTTGTGCGTTCTTACATGTAAAACCTAAATGCGAAAATGGTCCTGTAAGCATAAAGACCAAGCCTGCTCCACACGATCCACAAGCATGCCGTTTGCGCTGACATCAACATTCCAAAGATTGGCACAGAGCGCCCCAGTATCAACACAAGCTCAACTTGGCTATTGCGGCAATCTATTGTTGGGGGTATGCATTCATCCACTTAATGCGCGACCAGTTTGTCAACCTTGCTGCATGCCCGCAACGGAACCTGGTCCAAGACCTGAAATGCAGGAGCCTCAACTGCTGGGTACTGAGCCGCTGAAACTTCAAGTGCTTGAGACCCGGCCGCCCTGAAGCATCTGAGCCACTTCACCGGAAATTGGCTGTCTTGCCGGTTGCGCTGCTTCGCGCCAAATACCAATCCCTCAAAAATGTGATATCTTGGAGCTGAACAGGGGACATCAAGAACTTACCACGCCATTTTCAGCTCGAATGTTCACCGTTGACAATGTAATATTTTTTTGGAATCGGCCAAGGCACGGCTCCCGTTGCCCCCCCCCAGGCGCCCACAACATCCTTCACGACATGGAATGGAGTCTCACGCCCGCGCTTGCCCAACACCGAGCCAGCCCAACAGCCAATTTACACTGTCACCGGAAAGGACGTAGTTACGGACATGTAGCCACACTGCAGACAACACCGTGGTACGACACCGCACACAGCAACCAGCCCATCGGCCATAGGACAGCTTTCGTCCTCCCGAACAGCCCGCCTTCTCCCGCAGCCTCGGTTCCCTGACCCTTCTGATCGGGGGCCACGCTCCAACCCCCTGCAAGGGGCCACCCCCGCAAATTCCTCGCCAGGCCCCCGGGTCCAGTCCTGCGCGACCCCACCCACCCCCATGACGACCCCTCGCTCGCCCACGTGGCCCCGCGGCGCGCCCACGCGCGTCCCCGAACCTCCCACGCCGCTACGACATTCCAGCGCCGTTCCCGCCGTATCTCCCCATCAACCCCACGCCCGATTATGACGCCACCGTATTACAATTATGACGTCACTCTTTCGCGCGTGACGCAAGCCACATGGGTGACCCGAGCCGCATGCGTGACCCACCCCGTGACGCCGCCATCGCCAGATGTCAGAACTGCGTGCCTCTTGCACTGCGCTGACATTGCAACAGTGTGCATTGAATGCCCTTGGGAAAGTACAGCTTCAGGAAAGCGCACCTGGAGGAGGGTACCACTGCCGAAAGTGATACTGGAGGAGGGTAGTACTGCAGTGGAGTACTACTATCCCACGCCATCAGCAGCGCGCCGAGTTGCGTGGCCCGACTGGCTCGCCAGCCATGGTAGGGCCCGTCACACATGTGTTGCGGAATACGGTTCGCGAGGCTGCTTCCCCCCCGATCGAAGTCTGCGGGGCGCGGGGGGTGGCGAAAGTCGGCACCGACGACTCCGGGGGACAAACTGGCACGGCCCGCCGCCGCTCGGCGCTTCGCGGCTGCTGCAGAGAGTGCCGTTGGCATTTTTGCGGGCAGTCGGCGGCGGTCGTGGCCCTGGCTGCCGGCGCTCAGCGCGGCCGATTGCCTCCCGTACGAATCTGAGGCATCCGCGGCACGGGCGGCGACCGGCTGCCCTGGGCTATTGGATTGTCCGAGGAGGTGAGGGGGGTGGATTGATGCGTCGATGACGGGTCGGATCGGCCGTTCTGCTGTGGGTGTGGGAGGGGGCTCGATGGTGGGCCATGGTGCTTGTCCGTCGTGAAAATGGCGCTTTCGGATCGCGCCGGCCGCCTCGCGGGACGTCGAGCTCCGGGCTTGGTCCTGCTGGAAGTAGACGGCGAGCTGCGTCGCTTCGTTTGGACTCGGGAGAAAACTTTCGGCGGTTGGGAACGGCGGGACAGTGATGGCTTTTCGCGGCGCGTCGCGAAGGCGGCGGCGCATCGACCGTCCACGGAGCGTCCACCAAGCGTCGCGGACGGCGCTCGATCGCCCGTGGAAGCGGCCGCCGAGGGCACCGCGCACCCCCCCGCGGGACGCCGTGGATACCTTTTCCCCGCCCCGTACTACTTTTTAGGCGAGCGGCGGTTACGCAAAGGTTCCTTAACCGGCCAACCTGGGACGGCCACTTGTGCGCGGGCGCACGGGCGGTGCGCGGCCCGCGGGAGCGCGGCTGGCTCTGCGGGCCCCTTCCGAGCGGCTCCCCGTTCCTGACGTCCCTGGGACGTCTTGCCCGCGTGGCGCCGCCGATACCGTTAGGCCCACGCCACGTTGGGCGCCAGTCGGGCTAGGGCGGTTGTCGGCCGACGGATCTCTCGCGGAAGCCGCAGGGGGAGTTTTCTGGCCGAGTTTGGAGCCGAGCAGCCTCGAATCAGTTTGCGGGCGGCCATGTGTGGTCGGCGCGATCCCGCTTCCCCAGTTTCAGGCATCGCCCTGGGCATGGACCGTGGTCGCGGCGAGGATGAGTAATCTGGGGGGCCTCGAGTGCGCAGGCAGGGCCGGCGGCGATCGGAGCCGGCGGAGGCCTCGCGGGCGCACTGGTGCGGGAGGTGCGGTGCGGCGTCGCGGCGCCGACGGCGCATCAAATCAAACCTTCGTGTGCATTTCCGCTGCTGCGTTGTCATGCTCTTGGAGTAGGGGCTTGGCTGGCGTGGGGGGGAGGCCGCCTTTCCCCCCTCCACTGCTGCCCGCGTTCGAGGCCAAGGGAGCTGGCTCGACGGTCCCCGCTGCCGAACCTGCTATGGGTCTGTGTTTTGGGTGCGCGTCGGCCGTGGTCATCTTCTGGTCAGGCCAGGCCCGAGGGCCCATACGACACATCGGCTAATCGCCCGCGGCCCGCCGCTGCCGGCGGACGTGGGGCACGCTGGACGTGCTCTGTTTAGGGGCGCCAAAACAAGGGCGGGGGAGCTTCCTGACATTGATGTCGCCCGTGCTGGTGTCCTTGGGGGACAGTTCACTGGAGGTTGGGGCAAGGCTCCGCTTGCCACGCTGGGCGGGGAAGGCGTGGGTGCTTGGCATGCATGGCAGGGTTGCACAGAAACTGGAGGTGCCCAGAATCGGAGTCCCGGCAATCGTATCACTGCGCCATGTGCTGGGGCTGTGCCTGTTGGATCTCCTGCTGTTTGCCAACAGGGGCACGAATTCGATCGCATGCCGGATTCGAAATCGGTCGAGCTAAAACTCAAATCAGGCGACAGTTGTGAGACACAGGCAAGGGTGGGAGAGATGATGTGCCACCGGTCTGGCAGTCGTTGTCACACTTTATAGACGCCATGGACGACAACTGCCATTTTGCACGCGGTGGTGCCAAGCGTGCTGTCTGGTACCATTGTATTTATAGGCCAGGGTGGAAATAGGCGCTGGGTTGTGGAGACAGGGCCTGGGAAAGGAAACAGGAAATGGAGGACTGCTGGGTTTGCACTTGTCTGTGTTGACAACCCAGTACAATAATCCCATGCACTGGTTTGGCTGCAAAGGCATGGCAAACAAAGCCCTTGCATTCCTTGTGCAGAAGCATCCCACCAACGTTTGGCCAAGGTGCCTGGGTCACAGATCCACAGGTGCCCATTTGCATGTAATGTGAGAAGGTCAGCATAATCCACTATGCAAAGAGGCATTTGTCTGAAAGTGTACCAAGAGACGAATTGAAATGCGCTTGTTCTTCTCCTGTTTATCTGCCACCTTAACTGGACTCTGCATTTGTTGCAGCCTCTTTTGAAATGAAAGAACTGCAAGGCGTGCATAGGTCACTGCCATGATGACTGATGTCACTTGCCACATGGTTCTTCCATGCATCTGCCCACCTCAGCTCTGGTTCAGCACCAGGTTGTTGACATCCAGGCTCGGTCCACTTGCGCACGTGTTAGAGAGGTTCTAAAGGCCAGGCAGATAGAAGAGTACATGTCCATGGCACAGCATGCACACATCCATAGTTGTAGCATAGCACAGGACAATGAACATGGTATTGCGCAGCACCACAGCCTGTCCGATGTGCATTTTAAGATACTTCAGATTGTGGTGAGTGCTGTTTGATTCTCGTTTCTGGTGGTGTGGCAGATTGTCGCACACTCCATCTGTGAGTGGGACCCAGGAATTGCAATGCATCAGGCAAGTGTCTGTCACAGCACAGATAAGATGGCCCTATTCTGTTAAGAGAACAATCTGGTGATGTTCACAGTGGAGATGTTTACAATCGAGACAACTCTGTTTGACGGAAATGTGAATGCGAAAATGGGATCGTCAGGGACTGACGTGTGCGGCGAATGTGCTGGGGACTCGTTTTATGGCCACAACTCTGGCTGCACATCCCTGTGCCGTCACCCTGGCCTTCAAAAATGCTGCCTGCAACACCCTGTTGGTGTCCTAGTAGGAATGATCAACATCAACAGGTCGATGGAACTGCACTCCACCGAAGCTGCTGCGCGCTGAGGTGCCTGTGACATCAGCAGTGGCAAGGGATCTAGGCACATTAGTGCATGTCATCTGCCACAAAAGGGCATGGGGCATGGTGCAGGGAATGGCCACAAAGTAGTCACCCAAGCAGTAACAGTTTTAGCATCCTTTGATGGAGGAGCCACCTGCAATATGTGCCTGTGGCCCCAGCCCATTGCCCTGCACCCAAAGAATGGAATTGTGTGGACACACAACATGCAAATGAAATTGAATCCAGGATGGTGGTTGGATGGCTAATGCTGCTGCGGCCCTGTTGCCTGGGACGATCATGGCAGGGGAAGAACCACATTATTTGAGCCTGTGCTGATGTGTGACTTTGATGGATGGTCAACCGATGTGCCATGGGATGCTGACACCTGTGGCTTCATAACAGATGGTATTCATTAAGTTGAGTGACCTTTTGCCCAAACCTCAGCTTTTCAAGCCACTATTGCACCTTCATCCTGAAAGCAACCACCAGAAATATTGTGGCTTTAGTCTATTGTTGGATAAAATGTGCTACTGTTTGTGGCGCTTATGCATTGTAGATCTAGGAAGACAGCATGGGAGGTAACCAATAGTGCAGGTGGGCATAGGTAGCATGCCCAGTGCTGTGGATCATCGTAGGTGTTGCGGAACCTGTGGGGTATGCCAGACAGGTGGGGGGTAATGCTGGACTATACGGAGGTTATGCTGGATAGCATGCACAGGGTTAGGCTGGGGTGGTATGGGGTGGCTGGGTGGGTGGGCCATCCTACCAGAACAGTGGACCGTCTACGTTAATGGACGTTGTGCACTGGACATACTGGCCTGATATGTTGTCAACAAGCAAAGCTTTGACGTCTTGTCTAATGGATGATGCATACATCAATTTCACGAGTGGATGCACCACATGATTGTGCACTTCAATGGCAGCTGCAAGTTGTAGAAAGAGAGGTGCTGCACACGAGTTGTCACCATATCGCCAAAGTCCAAACAGACAGGTTGCTGACGTCTTTGCCGCACCCCGCCCAGGTCGCCCAGGTCGTCCGCCGCCGCGGCTGGGGCTTCCTCCCCACCCGCGTGCTCGACCGGATCAAGGAAAAGCTCGAGCAGGAGGAGGACGCCATCCCGCCCATGCTGCCGGCCATGCGGGCCGTCAACCACCACTGGTGCGCCTGGGCCTCCGCCGCCACGCGCCTCCTGGTCCCGTCCGGGGGCACGTCCTTCCCCACAATGGCGGCCACCATCCGGGACAAGCTGCCCAACGTGCTGGGCGTGCGCCTGTGGCGCTACCACACCGTCACCGACGACGAGCTGCAGGCCCTGAGCGTGCTGCCCCGGCTGACGCACCTGGACCTGAGGGGATGCGGCCGGATCACCGATTCCGGGCTGGGCTGCCTGACGGGCCTCAGGGAACTGGCCAAACTGGACCTGGGAGAGTGCGACCAGATCACGGACGCGGGCCTGCGCCACGTAGGGGTTCTCCCCCTCCTCTCCGACCTGACGGTGTCCTACCTGGGGCGGTTGACAGACGGCGGGATGCGCTGGCTGGGGCGCCTGCAGTCCGTCACATCCCTGGACCTGAGCTACTGCGACGGGATCCGTGGGCACGGCTTCAGCCACCTGGCTGGCATGACGCGCCTCAGGCGGCTGCACCTCAGCGGATGCGGCCGCCTGGCCGACGAGGGCATCCGCCTGCTGCGGGGCTTCGGCTCCCTGGCGTCGATCGACCTGCTGGACTGCGTGCGGATCACCGACGCGGGCGTGGAGGCCCTGGGCGGGATTCGATCCCTCACCCACCTGGATCTGTGCGGCTGCGCCGGCATGACGGACCGCGGCCTTTCTCACCTGTCCTCGCTGGTGGGCCTCCTGCACCTCAACCTCGGCCACTGCGGCCAGATCACGGACAGGGGCCTGGCCAGGCTCAAGGGCCTCACCAATCTCCGGCTGCTGAATCTCAGCCGGTGCCGGAACGTGACCGACGAGACGCTGGGCCAGCTGGGCGCGGGCTGGTCGCTGCCGGGGCTGACCAGCCTCAACGTGTCGTGGTGCACGCGGATCACGAGCCTGAGGTGCCTGGACGCCCTGACCAATCTCACGCGCGTCAACTGCTGCGGGTGCACGGGATTGGTGCAGGAGGGCTTGGCGTGCAGGCGCGTGCTGGCGCTGCTGACCTGACGTGTTCCTCCTAAGTTCCCTGAGCCCGCGGAGTTCTGTTGTTCGGGTTTGTCATCCAAAGGATGACAATAGGCGATCTGGAGGCGCCCTTGCGCCTATCAGGCGGTGCTGTCGGTTGCCGACGCGCCGAGCGTGCTTCAGTGAGGCGAATGCTTTGGTTTTGGTTTGCAGTCGAGGGGCGGAGAGGGGGGTTCGCGTTTGCATGTGATGGGCGTTCTTGTGTCAGGTGTTCCTGTGTGTGTCGCGGGGCGCTGTATGCACTGTATGCGCTGTGTGCGCTGTATGGTGGGCCGAGGGGAATGGAATGGTGCTGTGTTTGTCAACAAGTGTGAGTGCCTGTGTGGCATCGCGTAGGCCACGGTGGGAGGGGCATGGGGGGTCCGAAGGTTGGGGCCAGATGGTTTGTCCTTGGAAGGACATGTCGGGGCACTTTCAGAGCATTTTGCCGCCTAGTTTTTTTTTTAGCCTGATGGTTGTCGTGGCCGTTCGTTTTCCCCTCAAGTCGCTGACGCGGTCAGGAGCTCTGAGCGGGAAGGCAGCCGAGCAGGTGTAGAGATTAGGAGTCTTGTATGTTGCCGGGCAAGAAAAATGCAAATTGTGCAAGAAAGGCGCAATTGGGCAAGAAAAATACAATTGTGACGCGAGACTGTGCTGAGTCACAGTGGGCTTGGGTCGTAGGAAAATTGGCAAGGATTGCGATTTCGATGCGGTCCTGTTCTGTGTTGAATTGCTGTCAGATATGTGTTAATCGCAGGTTGCGCTGGGGAGCGGGACTCAATCGCGCAGCCAATACCATATTTGCATCGATTCTTTTTGGTGAGCGTACATGCAAATACCCGTATTTTTGTAATGTGGGGACATTTGGGGGGTGTTGTTGGGTGTCTGTGGTGCTGCGAATGGGCTTGGTGCTTGTGGGCGAGCGAGGCAATATCAAACGATTCTGCTAGGTGTCGGACGATCCAGCATGGCGTTGAACGTGTGGAACGCGATGTTGGGCTATTTGAACGATGTCGCTTTGAGGGTGTGTGACGAGGGGATGACGCCTAGTCGTGACGGTATGGCCTATTTTCAAGGTACGCGGGTGGTGCAGTTGCACAGACTGGTGGGGCGTCTACGAGTGGGAATTCATGGAAAATGCCACCAACTTTGCGCTCAGTACTGGCTGTTACGCTTGAGTGACTGCTGGGAACGCTGCGGAAAGCATTTTTGAAGGGTGTCGGTGGTCTGTTTTCAGACAGCATTTATTCTTACATTGACACGAGTGCATTGTAGATGCCCGCTATTCTGCGTGGCAGTTTGCTTGTCCCTCGCCTCCTTGAGCGGTGGATCAGCATTGCGCAATGCATATCGCAATGTACCCAGATGCCGCCCTCGTCCGAATGCGCATCTGTCCCCACATCTGGGCAGCAAGGTGCTGCAGTTGCAGTGAATGGTAGGCTGTGGGGATCGGTTTCCAAGTCAAGGCGTTCAAGTTTAATGCCAGGTGAGCAATGCGCCAAGGCGATTCTCACGCTTATCGTCAAATTGACAAGGGGAGGGGCCCACGGGGTGATGCTATGAAAATCGTGTTTGCTATGACATCAATATCGTTTTGTTTCTGCTGTCCAAAATTGCCCTCGATTATTTCTCCATCATGCAAGTTTCGGGGTTCAATCAAGCCTCTTCCAAAGTTGTGCCTATGAGTTTGGGGTATACGGTCAGAAAATTAGGTCAATCAGTCAAGTATTGAAGATCTGACATTACTTTGTAGCAAGGGTCTTTTATCTCGTAAACCTCGAATTCGTTGGTCGAAAATGACCAGAACTCACCTTTCGCCCAACGCTCAAATTGTTCGTGCTTTAATTTTTCCTTGCAACTTCGGGCTTTTAAGGTTTTTTAGGATCCAATCTTTCCTATTTTGAATTCCTTTTGCGATTTTGAGGCCGCTGTTGTAATGAATTTGTCTATCAAATAGCGGACAATTAATTCTGGATGGAGGAAGTAGGTTTCCGGGGAGGGAGGGCTGAAATGGAAGGAAAGAAGTTGGCGGGCGCCCACGCCACGAAACAAGACGTACCGCAGTATATTCAGCCCTTCCGCATAATAACGTAATGCTTGGCTTTTTTCTCGGTAGAAAAATTAGTAAACAGCAACACAAAGTTTGGCCAATTTTTTGCAGAGCGGAGTGAAAAACAACAACAATAACGCTCTGAAAAACCAAAGTATGGAGCGAAAAGCGTAATGATAAAACTTTCTGATGCGGAAGGGTTGAACATTTTACAGTACGCGCGCCCAAGAATCGTGTGTATTACGTTCAACGCAACGGTGTGACGAAACCGATTCGTCACCGCGGCTGCAAATTCGGGTTACTATTTTTTTTTGCGACAGTGGATTGTTCTTCTCTGCGACAGTGCCAAACTACTCTTTTTTGCGACAGCGGCGATAATTGATGTGCGAGATGTTGGCATCAGAGTTGCCACACCACCCCTGCACGGTCTACTGGGCCTCCTCTCACAACGGCGCTGAAGGCGCGTCTGTTCGGAGAAAGGACTAAAAGGCGAAGCGGGAACGTTTGGGGACGCCCAGGGTCCCCACCTTGCGGAAGGGGGCTGCCGCTACCACTCGGCGATTACCTTGGCGCTGAGATTCAACCGAATCGGCTGAGGTTGCAGCCCCCCGTTTCTGCCCCAGATCTGCTTTTGCCGTGCTAGCCCCCTAAAATGCGGCCACTTGGCCGCGCCGGGAGACGGCGCCGCGAACTGGGACCAGGGAGTGTTGCTCGTGACGCCGGACGGGGAGGCCAAGGTGCTGGTTGCCAGCGCCATTGCCGTCCAAGCATCGACCATCAAGGCGCCCACGCCCCAGCGCCGTTGACTGGTCACACGACCAGGTTTCGCTGCCGGGTGGGGGCACGCCCTGTGAGCCACGACCTGTGGCGGGCTGCCACTGGAGCCATTTTAGCGATTGGCGCAACCCTAGTGCTCATTTGGCGCCGCCTGGCCCTGTGCGTCACCCAGACCCCAAACAAGCACAGCGTTGACTCGTGAAGTTCGAGGGAGCGGAAAACGGTCCCTCGGGCGGCGAACAACAGCGACGGCGGCTGCTAGCGGCTAGTGGCAAGTGACGGTGGAGGGGGGCGGGGGGCGGGTAGGCGAGCTGGTTCGAAGGCCCGCCGCCTTCCCAAGCTGTGCATTAGTCATATTCACTGTCGCAGAAAAGAACAATCCACTGTCGCAAAAAAGAGTAGTTTGGCACTGTCGCAAAAAAGAATAGTCCACTGTCGCAAAAAGAAATATTCACCGCAAATTCGTGCGTACAAATGCGCCCAGACGCCAATCAGCGCCAATCAAGACCTCCCTCTCCGCCCCGCCCCTCCGCGGCACACAAAGGGCGAAGCGGGAGCGCACCCCCCCTCCACCACTCTCTCGCCATGGCGCAACCGCAGCAGCCCCCCCCCTGCCGCCACCCGCTGGAGCCCCTCTCCCCGGATGAGATCCTCTCCGCTTCCGCGGCCGTCCGCAGCGATGCCGAGATGTCGGGATTCGGAGACGCTCTGCGCTTCGAGACGATCGAGCTCAGGGAGCCGGCTAAGGAGGCCGTGAGGGCTTTCCGCCCGGGCGACCCCGTGGAGCGTGTCGCCCGCGTGAACGCCTACCGCACCGGCGCCATCGGCCTGTGGCGCTTCGCTGTGGCCATGGCCGACGGGACCATCATGTCCAGGGCGCACGTCCCCGGCGCGAGGCCCATGTTCAAGCCGGAGGAATTCGAGGAGATCGAGGCCACGGCCAAGGCGGACGCCCGTTTCATTGCCGCGTGCCAGCGCCGGGGCATTGACGTGGACGCCGTCTGCGTGGATCCCTGGTCGGCCGGCGTCTTCGGCATCAAAGAGGAGGAGGGTCTCCACATAAGCCACGGCTTCTGCTACCTGAAAACCACCGCAGCCGACAACTCCTACGCCCACCCCATCGAAGGCCTGCACCCCGTCGTGGACGTCAAAGCGATGACCGTCCTGCGCGTGGACGACCGCGGCGATGTCCCAGTGCCCGCCCCCTGCCACAATTTCGACAGGGATTTCCTCCCGCCGCCCAGGTCCGATCTCAAGCCCATCGAGATCTCGCAACCGAGTGGGGTATCCTTCAGGCTTGACGGCCACGCTCTCTCGTGGCACGAGTGGAGGTTGGTGGTGGGGTTCAATGCGCGGGAGGCGCTGACCCTGCACGACCTGAGGTTTGGCGGCCGGCCGGTGGTCTACCGGGCGTCCCTGGCGGAGATGGTGGTGCCGTACGGCAGCCCTCAGGGCAGCCACGCGCGGAAGAACGTGTTCGACGTGGGCGAGTACGGCGTGGGCAACCTGGTGAACGAGCTGGAGCTGGGCTGCGACTGCGTGGGGGCGATCAGGTGGGCGGCGTTGCATGGCGACATAATCATGACGCTCTTCTTTTCCGTGCTTGTTGTCGTCATTTTCCGCAGTTTGTCCCTCAGGTGGGCGGCGTTGTGCGGCGACGTAATCATGACGTTCTTTTTTTCCGTTTTTGTTGTCACAATTTTCCGCAGTTTGTCTCGTCTTGGGGGCGATTCTTTTCCGCTCGCACTGCTTCCCACGCAGACCTCGTTTGCGGAGACGGTGACGGAGACGGGAACGGGTTAGGATTAGGCGTTTTTGCGCGCTAGGATTTTAGGGTCTAGGGTACATATGCAGAGTATTGGGTCTCTGTATGCGGGCTCCGTGGTCCGTGTCCAGAGCGGCCTCTTTGTAATGGAGGGGCGGCCATGGCTGACGGACTGGGTCCCTCCTCCTTTGGGTAATCTTCGTTTGAGCTGAACCCGGGTACAGGAGGGCCAGTGATCAAGCGCTGCTGATTCTTCACCTGTCGTCCTTTAATCCTGGGTTTGGGGTGGGGATTGCCACGGCGGGGAGTGACGCCCCGCGCGCCTGTTCAATGAGCCACACCCTGGACGCTGTTCATTGAAGGGCATGTGAAACAGACCGGGCAGTAATGGACATTCCGCCAGTGCCCTTGTCTGCAGTTTTCACAACTAAGCCGCTGAGAATCTTGCCAGTGTTGTGCCATGACGTGGAATCGCGACGCCAGTGCTGAGAGCAGGCGAAACTCTTTGCATGGAACCTGCGTCTCCTGTGCAGAGGTAGTGTTGGAGCCATGGCAGAAAGTAGCAAAATGTCGTATTGCCTGATGCTGGACTTAATTGAAGAAGTTGGGTTTTTCGAATGAATCTAAGCGACTGCTGCGACTGAATCATTTCATGGAAGCATGACTTTTCGTTGGTTGAGGTGATGAACTGAATTTCAAGTTATGAAACAGCACAAGTACAAGTGAGCACACGCATGGATGAGGACGCCAAAACGCAAAATCCCCCGTCCTGTTTCGCCCCAGCAATGTAGTACACTGTCTGGCAGCAATCTTCCTTGCGTTAATATTGCTTCTGTTCCCTCGGATTCATTGTATCAACTTGGGAAACTGCGGTGAACCCTGATTGGAAAAACTGAACACCAACCAATACAAACACCGAACAGAATCTGTTCATCGCGCTGCAGTAGAGTGACAATTCCTGTGATGCAAACGATCAGCTTATCAATGAAAAGAGCAAGTCAATAACGCAAGAGCAAGTCAGTAAAATGTGAATGACGACGCCGGCTGGCGGGCCCCAGGTACCTGGACGCGTGGGTGAACGACATGCAGGGCCGGCCCGTGCGCAAGGCCAACGCCATCTGCATCCACGAGGAGGACACCGGCCTGCTGTGGAAGCACTTTGACTTCCGCACCGGCCGCGTGGAGACGCGCCGCGGGCGGCGTCTGGTGCTCTCCTGCATCGCCACCGTGGGCAACTACGACTACTGCCTGTACTGGTACCTCTACCTCGACGGGGCGCTCGAGTTCGAGGTCAAGGCGACGGGGATAATCAACACGGCCGCCTGCGAACCCGGCTCCGAGCAGAGGTACGGGACGGAAGTTGCCCCGGGCGTCCTGGGACACATCCACCAGCACATATTTTGTGCGAGGCTGGACATGGCGGTGGACGGGGATTCGAATTCCGTCGTTGAGTGCGACACCGTCGCCGAGGAGCCGAGCATCACCAACCCGTTCGGCAACGCCTACTTCGTCGAGGAGCGGACGATTGAGACGGAGTGCGGGCGGCGGCGGGCGCCCGACTCGGAACGCTACTGGAAGTTCGTGAGCGCGGAGCGGACCAACGCGATGGGCGCCCCCACCGCCTACAAGCTCGAGCCGAGCAAGTGCGTGAACGTCTTCGTTCACCCGCGGTCCAGGTCCGGGGAGAGGATGCCGTTCGTCAGAAACCATCTGTGGGTGACGGCTTTCGACCCGGATGAGAGGTACCCGGGGGGAGAGCACATGCACCAATCGGACGGCAGGGACGGCGTGCACGCCTTTGCGGCCAAGGAGAGGAGCGTGAGGGCTGCGGACGTCGTGGCGTGGCACGTGTTCGGGCTGCACCACCTGCCCAGGCTGGAGGACTGGCCGGTGCAGCCCGTGGCCTGCACGGGCTTCAGGCTGTCGCCCAGCGGCTTCTTCGACAGGAACCCCACGCTGGACCTGCCCGCGACGTGCAGCGCGTCCAGCCGCCGCGCCGACGCGGACGGGTGACGACCGTGGGGCGACAGGACAGGGACTGGGAGGCGGCCAGATAATTCGGTCGAGTAGCCGGACGAAAGCGCATTACTGCAAATCGATAACCTTTGTTTTTGTGTAACGAAATAGGCGCGTGGAACTGACAAAGTTTTACCCGTTGTCAGCGCGCTCCGCACCACCAACGAACAATAGCCAGCGATTTAACACGATTCATTCCCACATTCAAAATGTGCCTGATCATCGCGCAGCAGGCGGCATGAAATTAGCCGCTCTGTCGTTTTCGTTTGGATCCCATCTTGTTTCGGACACCCTAAACCACTGACCCACTGACCCACTGACCGGCGTTGCCCTTCTCAGCGGAAGAAGAAGGGATCCGCACCTAAAAGACAGAGGGGCTAATACATTCTGGCAACAGGCCGTGACGGCCAATTCCAGTCGGCAGAAGCCACACCCACCAGCGCCGGCGGGCATCGGGCATAGTATTAAGCCAATCGCCAAAGCCGGCGGAATCTTATCACCATCGCCTCCGGGTTAGGTCCTGACACCCTGTTTGTAGTACTTTTTGCTAAAGTTCCAGCTCGCCAACTTGCGAACACACTTCGTTTGATGTATTACCATCGATTATCACTTCTAGGCATCGAAAGTTCATAGATGATAGATTTAGTTTGTATTTCTCAACAGATCCCAATGAACCAATCACCGACTCTGCTTTGCTCAGGCAAAAAGGAAGCTGACGGCTACCTCATTGCCTTGTTCTGTAAAAAATCGTGATGATGATGATGACACCCTGTGCCCAGGGCGACACCAGAAATGGCGCTATCTGTCAGTGCCCCCGCGTGTTGGCACACCATGGGCTTCCCGCTAGTTGCTGGCAACAGCTCGGAGGACGCTTTCAAGGGTACCTGGTAACGCCAACGTGGTCCGCCACAAACCCAACGGTGCTGCAGCTGCACTCGCTCACGCTGCATGCAATCTGGCGAGGATCGCTCGGAACCGGTCTTGCGCGTGGCCCGCCAATCAACATGAGCTGGGGCGGGGGAGGGGAGAGGGGCGGCTGGCTTCGAATTCCACCCAGCACGTCCAGTGGCAACGCCTCAGCGGCTCACTGAAGCCACAACCCAGGTTGCAGTTGTCCTCACCGGAAACAGCTACAGCAAGCAAAGGTTTCAGTGGCTGTTCCAGAAAGAAGCAATCCACGGAGGCCCTTTCCGCCTGCGCCTTCCCAAGCAGATCGTGCACAACCAGAAACACAGTTTGCTATCTCTTGGAGAGCCAAATGCCAACTTTTGGTCGCCGATCGAGTCACGCAAACGGTGCACACTCTGCCTGAGTACCACTGCCGTGAGGCGGCCCGCCCCGCTGCGTTGCCACAGCATTCCGGGTGATTGTTGTCCGATTCCCATCGTCAGTTGCAATGGACGATGAGCAACAGTCACGTGCAACATGCTCCCGCAGCTGCCGTCGTTGTGGTTTTTGCACCGGTGTGGAGGCCAGCGCTGGGGCAGCGGAGGTTGCGATGGACCAAGGGCCAGTTTGGTTTCCGAGTTTCGGGTATGGGCGCCAGGACATAACCGGGGTCGTGATGGCGATGAGATTCCGCCGAATTCGGTGATTGGAATATAATACTGTCAAATATTCAACCCTTCCGCATCGGTCCATCCCAACCGTTACGTTTTTGCTCCGCATTTTCGTCCCAGACCGTTACGTTATTTTCCTTTTTGCTCTGCATCGTGTCGGGCGGGCTCCAAGGGGCCTCCAAAGGCTGTATCCCAAGTTTCAGGTGCAACGGACCAGTCCCAAGACTAAATTGGGCTGCTCCACATCTCGCTCTGGCACCGTTACTTTTTTATTAATCGACTCCGCAAAAAAGGGCCCAGCGTTACGTTACTATGCAGAAGGGCTTAAAAACCAACAGTAAGATTAGTATTACAACCTCGGACCGCTGCACACGTTGCACACACGGCGTCCTCTGAACAACCTGGTGTCACGGCTTTGGCTGGTCGTATGCCATACAACGTGTACCATACGACGTATGGTCTATCCAGGTGGCGCTTTCAGGGCCTTGAGAGACAGTTGAATACAAACGAGTTTGAAAATGAGTTGAAAAAGTGCAATAGCAGTGAAATAAGATCATTCGGACTTGGGTTTTAATAGCAAGTTAACTACAGCAGTTGGTGGGTAGTGTTGCAATGAGTGCACAAACTGGTGCACCATTTGGTGGCTTATTTGATGCGGTGATTGTTCCAGCAATCTCTGCATGAATCGGTGTAGCAAATGGTGCGCCAATTGGTGCACTGACTGCAGCGCAACAATGAAACGCTGTTTTTCTTTTTCTCCTATTGTCATTTTTTTTCAACTGCACATTCTGTCGAATGAGCGACCAGGATAGCGTGGGCAAGGACATGTTGGTGCTAGGAGGCCCGCAGGCAAAGCCTAAGGCGGGGCAGCGCAGGTGCTGGCTGCCAGCGCCTTGGCTGCCCTGCAATAGACCGGACATTCGACCCCATTTGAACAACGTTATAGTAGGCAATCCCCGCTGCCAGGCGATCCCAAAAGGCAGGCGATCCTCAGCGCCGACCGTCGCCGGCGCTTGGAGCGGTCGTTTGCCCAAAGGGTGCCGAAATGGCCGGCCTTGGCTGGGCATTTGTTGCTTCTTTGTCGTTGGCTGGTGCAGTCAAAATCGGCGAATTGAGGCACAACCTGCAACGAGGGAGTTGGGGGCCGGCGATTGGGCTCCCACTACCGACGCTTTGCAGTAACTCGTTTGGGGTTGTGTTGGGGTTCTGCGTGTTGCACGCTTTCTTTTTGCTTGATAGAATCGCCGGCCGTGGCCGCCGATTGTTGCCAAGCATGACTGCCAAGGTTGGTGCCTGTGGATGACTGCAATCGGTGGCGGCGAGGGGCGATGTGGCGGGCGTGGGAGGCCACAATCGGCCTCCCATTCTCACCGCTTTGTGGCCACACCGTTGGCACTTTCTCCTGTGCCCCGGGTGCCATGAGATCTCCAACTGACCGCCGGAATCCGGCCTTCGCGAGCGCCGATTGCGGCGACCTGCTGGTGTCAATCTAGGCGTCTGCGGGTTGCCATAATAGGTGTCAGTGAGGGCCAAAAGCGGTGGGAGTAGGAGGCGGTGATTGGCCTCCCACTCCCGTCGCTTTGCAACAATGCGTTTGCCATCCTCGCCTGCACTTTGGCGCCGACCGTTGTCCAATTGACCCATGGTATCTGCCCCTCGTGCCTCCGATTGTTGCCACCTGCGTGTGCCGATCTGGGCATCTGCGACTGGCCACGATCGGTGACCACGAGGGGCAGAAGCGGTGGGATCGTAGGGGCCGATCGGCCTCCCACTTCCGCAACTTGCGAAATTATGCTTGTGGTGTTTGTGGAGCTGGTGCTTGTGGCGCTCGCAGCACAGCACCGGCCACAACCCTGCACTCTTGAGATGGCCGGCCCCCTGCAGTGCAGCACATAGCGTTGTTCCCGCCACCGGCCAGCTCGCCGCTGTGCTGCAGCCTCTAGTGGGCGTGCTTCTAGTGACCTACGAACCCAGCGACCTTGCGCCGTTTTGCAGCGTCTTGTGTGCGATCTTCCAGTGGTTTGGAAAGCAGTCACGGCGCCCGCGTCGCTGTTGCTTTGTCCTTTTTCATTCACAACCACAAGTGTTCGCGTGCCGTTGTGCGCCATCGGCACCCACACCTGCTGCAGCTATCCCACTTCGCATCCCCATTCGCGTCCCCACCCGCCAAACCCAGTGGCCGCCATTAGAGGCGTGCTTTCGGTTCTAGAATTGGGCCTGGACGTGCCCCTCGCACACTGGATGGTACGCTACATTGATCGATGCCGTGACGTCATGTCGATGCATCCATGTAAGGAAGAAACAAACAAACAAACAAACCCGCCAAACCCCTTGGGCGGCTTGAGGGGCAGACGCAGATGGTGGGAATGGCTGGATTTGGGGCGAAGATGGTGGCACCTCCCGTCATTGAGGCAGCAGACCCACACGCCGCACGGCGCCGCGCTCCCATTTGTTGTTTTGCTGTGCCGCGCCGCACCGCTCTGCCTCGTGGTTATGACAGCCACGTTGTTCCTTGAGTTGCAAACCGCATGTGAAAAGCTTTCAGTGCGTTCAAGCGTCGTTTGTCGTTGGTTGGGGCTTTCACCTTTTGACCTGGCCGCGTTTGCGACCTGAGGCTGCCTGGCTCCCGCCACGACGCCCGCTCTGCTGCGGACGTCGGCAAACCTCGCGGGGCGCCAAGAGCAAGTTACGCCAATCGCCCGCATCGAAAGCTTTCCCTTCCTCCCATAGGGCTATGGCAGGCGTCGCGAGGCGCGGCATGGTCCCTAGGGGCCCAACTTGAACGCCAGCGTGGCAAGGTGTCCATCCCGGCAACTTGCTGCCAATCAGCGCGCCCAATCAATCCGCCAAGCGTCCGGGGCCCCCGAGTCATGGAGTGAAGATTTGGAAAGCGGAGAATGGGGGTGCGGCTCCCACCCGGGTCGGGGGACGTGCTTGAACACGACCGTTGGGTGGGCCATAGACCTCCGCCATCGCGATCCCGCGTCTTCACGGTTGTCTCAAAGTCAATGCGGGGGTGGATGGGGGCGAAGGCGATGGTGCGAATGGCTCCCTCGACTGCGACTGGCCCCCCCGCTGGGCTGCGGAGCGCAACGGAGGTAGAGACGCGGCTTTCTGACGCTGCGTCGTTGGCGCCCAGCACCCACCCGTGCTCGTCGCCTGCTTTTCTGTTTGATCCTGTGCCCCCCAGATGCGCCCAGTGCAGGGCGCCGATGGTGCATGTGCCGACCGTTCGGAACAGCAAATCAACAATCAAAGTTGCCTTGCGCGCGTGCGGCTGTGCCGCGCAGCAGTTGTAGAGGCCTGCGATGGCGCTTAACAATCGCCATCGGCTTGGCCACTGCTGTGCGGAAAGCAATTACCGCACCACACGCCCAACCGCCGAGGGCCAATGGGCCCAAGGGTGCCGCAGCGACAGGGCAGGTGTTTGAAATTGTTGCGCACGAGGGCGGGCCACCCATCGTGGTGGTGAACAGCATCACTGAAGGCGGTAGGATGCGGGGACAGTCTCTGCGCGGTGTCTCGGTTGTTGTGCCACTGACTATGACTGCACACGCGAGCTCAGGAAGAGAAATGCAAATCCCATCGTTCAAAACAGGTGCCTCCCTTTTCCAAAAAGGAAAAAGAAAATTATTGTTACAGGTTCTGTTAAATAATGTGGGACTGGTATTTTAAGTACCGCCGGGCTGATAATAAGAATAATATTAATCTTATCTCCGGACACAGCACCATTCCGGGGCCCGGCACCGGAACAGATTTCGGAGCAGCCTACCGACCAATTGCGGGATTGCGCCCTCCGGTTTCGGATCCGGCACTCCGATCAACCAACGCCTTGGGGTCCGTCCGATGGCGGTCCGTAGCGTCGTACCAGCCCGGACACAAAGGCGCCAAAATAGTCCCACCCTCGGCGCTTCGCCACTCTCAAGACCGGCCTGCGAAACGACCCAATCCCAAAGCCAAAACCACAAACCGCCATCAGCGATGATAAATACCGAGAGCCGGCCCCGAAAAGCACAGCCCCGCCCCTCCGCGTGGCACCCCACGTTGGAGCCCGGACCCGCCGCCCGATCCATCAAAATCCTCCCCCAGTTGAGGCTGACGACTCCACCGGTAGCGTTTTCGCTAGCTCCTCACGGGCTCTAGACGATCCCGTCGCGGGGACCCCCCGCATATGACCGGCGGGCCGCTGGCCGATGCATGTTCGCGCCTGTTCCGGGGGAGCCAGCCCAGCACAGCCCAGGCCGAGAGAGACAGGAGATGGCGGGGCGCGCGTGCTGCGGCGCCTACTTGCGGGCGCTGGCGCTGGCAATTGCCACGCTGCTGTTGGCGCAGCTGGGCGCGGAGGCCAGGCGGCTGGCGGGACAGGATGGCGAGGGCGCGGCCGAGAGCAATACAACCAGTGCCTCCCCGTAAGGCCGCGTCGATTGTGTCGCATCAGACTCGCCAGCGCTGGATCGCAATCCTCGGCCCCCGATCCGTTGGCCCGGGGTGGTGATCGGCGAAGGGATTGTGATGGACCGATTCGTTTTTGGGTTCAGGGTTTCCGGAAGGCTGCAGCACCCGCAGGCCAACGTCGCCTGGACGGTGAGCCCCTTCATGATTGTCGGCTCCTCCACGGGCAAGTCGCAGTTCTTCTGGGCGCCGGGCCGCGGCGCGCTGGCCTCGGGCTTCGAGGTGTGGGTGGGCGCCGGCGGCGTCAACGGCATTGCGGTGACCTTCACCGAGGGATCCTTCACCGAGGGCAGCACGGCGGTGATCGGCACCCGGGTGGGGTCCCACAGCGCGATCTCGCTGGCCAAGGGCGAGCGCATCACCGCGATGTCGCTGTGGGACAACGGCCAGCCCAAGCCCCGCTGGGCCTTCGGCGCCATGCGGATCGTGACAGATGCCGGGCAGACCTTCGAGGCGGGGGTGCCTGCCGGGCACCGGGGGGAGGAGTACAGCCTGGATGTCGGTTCGGGGCTCGTAGTAGGCGTGGAGGGGTACCACGGCGATGCGGTGAATGCCTTCGGCGCGTGCTTCCTCAAGCCCGTGGCGTCGGCCGCGATGGAGGTCACGGGGTACCCCACGCTCCAAGGGCTGTCCCCGGCCGGCGGCAAGGAGCAGGCCGTGCTGGCCTACGTGACCTACAGCAACTACGGGGACCAGCCACAGCACGTGCGCATGTCCGGCTCGCCCACCGTCACCGCCAAGCACTGGTGGGAATTCGACGCGCCCAAGGTACTGGGCGTGGATGTTGCAATCCGCGCCGGCGTCCCGCGCGTCGTGGAGTCTGACGGCGTGCCCTCCAACTGGACTGTGACCGAGGCAGAGGATTGGTCCAGCCAGGACGCAAGGGAGGATGTTGAGCGCGTGTACGATCTTCCGCTGACCGTCAATCCGCACAGCTCGGTCGACGCCAAGGCCACCCTCGCCGAGATCGATTTGGACATCGAGTTCACGGCGCGCATGGCGGTCACGGTGGACGACGGCGCGATCTGGGGCTATCACACCACGGGGCACTACGTGGGGCTGGCGTACGCGGTCACGGTCACGCTGGGCGACGAGACCAGCTTGAAGGATGGCGGGGAGCAGGAGGAGGCCGTGGAGGAGGTTGCCGACGACCGCGCGGTGGACCCGCCGGTTGAGGAAGACCGACGCCAGCCGGTCAAGGTCGCGGATCCCGCGGTCTGGGAGTGGTCCTCCAACGGCAACGTTGCGGGCGAGATCGCGGTGACTTGAGCGCGGGCGGGACTGGACTTGGGAGGTTTGTCGGCTGTGGGGTGGGGTAGTGGGGATGTGTGAGACGGTTCATGGTGGTGTGATGGGGTGGTTGCGGCTTGCGGAGGTGGCCTAGAGGAGGCGGGGTGGGGTGGCGCGTCGTCGCGGCCAAGAATTGCTTTTCAGTTTCGGAGTGGGCGAAATGAGATCCGAACGCCGTTAGAGTTTGAACACACTGCAGTACGATCATGGGGGGAGAAGAGCAGGGGGGGAGGCGTTCCTTCAAGATGATGCGGGTCCAACTGCTGCCGGGAGGGCGAGGAGGAGCGGCAGAGTGGGGCGGCAGGCGGGTTTCCGATTCTTATGCAAGGTTGGTGCCAGGGGCCCCGGAACAAGAGTAGGGGACCTGGCGTTGATTTCTACGTTTTAGTGTTTTGGGCACATTCTGTTCCCTCAATCTAATTTTGGGAATTGGCGGGCCCGGGATGCGGCGTCCCGGTTCCGGGGTTAAAATCGATTGGATGTAGCCACAGGAATGCGGCTGATCTTTGATTTTGGCGGGGGGGGTGGGGGCATCAGCGGAGTCAGATCAGATTCGAGTCACGCAACCATTTTATTGTCCCAAATGCCTTTAGGCCACTTGTACCATGGGCGGAGTTGCGGGAGGGGGGCGCGCTCGTTGGGTGTGGCGGGGTTTAGAATAGGCGGGATGTGTCCTATTCCTATTTAGGACTGAAACCATGGCAGGCAGCACCATAACAATATGCTGTTGTAAAATTGCAAACTGCGGTGGCGCGCACCACTCTCCGCAAACGCACACAAACACACACCACCCTTCCTGCGAGTCTGGGATGGGGCGGTGGGGATCGTCGAACGTCGACGTGCTGTGGGTAGACGGCATTCCATCGGCATCATCATCGTTCCTGCCATTGGCCTTGGGCGCTGTCGGGCGCCGAAGTGCGCAAACAGTTCGCCAAGGGAGGGCAATGGCGGTGACTTCTCATGTTTCGATGAGCCCAACCAATGCGGGTTAACGGCCTGAGGACGGCTGGCCCAGTTGCATTCTCCCCCCACGGGGGCAAGCGTGGGCGTTCCGGGCCACGGGGCGCCCATGTCTGGGAGGGTTCCTTGCGGCAATGGAGAAATAAATGCGAACAGGGGCTTGGGGGGCCCCAAGGACATTCGTATGGTCAATGCGCAGGTCGTCCATTAACAAGGTTTGTTCGGCGGGGGCCTGGTGGCCTCCGTGCCTTGTGTAATAAACCGATTCTTGGAGAAAGACTCATCCGTTGGCTCGGCGGCGAACGCGCCATCCACGACGGCAAACCCGTGGAAATCCTCCCTGAACCTATTCTGATCAAGGAGACCTTCCGCAGGGGCCTCCGACGCTGCCCAACTGCCCCTGATGCAACAACGACCGCCTCGCGCACAAAAGCTGGAATAAAGCGCTCGAGAAGACGCCCACGACGAAGCGCCACAAAATCGGCCGCGCAAGCCAATGCCCCGTGCTGCCGGCCCCACCCCATTGTCCCGCGCGCCCTTCCATCCAACCGCCCTCGGACCGCAGATAGCCCGGAGCCAGCAACTCCAACCCCCACCCCACCCAAACTCCCACCCACGCAACCCATTCACACACTCAAAATTCAGCATTCAAGCCGGGAGATCCAGGCACCCCGACGCGATCAGAGGTTCATCGATTCCAAGGCCAGGAGGCTCGTCGATGCGAGGGCCGAGACGGAAACATGCATCGAGGCGCGCCTCACAGGGCCGCCTGCGCCTGCAGCCGGGCGGCGAGTTTCTGTCCCAGCTGCACGTCGCACTGCGACCAGTAGCCCAGCCACACGCGGCGCACCTCCCTGGTGCACCGCGGATCCAGCAGCATGTCGGCCATGCGCTGCAGGAAGCGCTCCCGGCGGGCGGGGTCCCAAGAGCGGTAGCGCTCACCCGGCTGCGCGAAGTTGTTCTCCTTGGGGATGATGGCCTTCTCGCGCCGGCCGCTGAGGCTCTGGCGCACCATGGGGTACGGGTCGGCGTGGCGCACCGGGTCGGACCTGCGGGAGGGCGTGGATAAAATGTTGGTGCGCGGACAACAACAAAGAAACAAGGGAAAAGTAAGCAAGGATGAAGATAGAAAAACAGAAAACCCGATAAAAAGCAACCAAGAAACAAGGCAACAACGAAAAGGAGGCAAGAAAGGAACAAATCAGAAAAACAGAAGACCGATAAGAAGAATGGAATGGTAAAGGAAACAACGAAATGCTGAAGGAACCGTTGGCGCGATGATTTCGTGAGTGCGCAATTTTGTTCCCTGAAGATATTCCTGACATGTATTTGCCCGTTGAAAGACCTCCTCTAGCTGCACTGCTTTTCATATTCTTACCACGATCGCCAAAAAATGCAAACAGTGTGCAAAAAAACGCTGCGTCCAGCAGACAGCACGGATGAAAGTTCACTCGCCATTGCCTTGCAAATACAAAGGGCGGTGGTCTGCCTCTTTCGTGTGATCCAAGGGGAACAACGCGAGCTGTGCACCGCACACAACTGGACCAAAATCTGCAATCCCAACGGCATTCTTGGTCATTTCCTGGCAACCATCTTTCCATGATGGTTTTCCCAATCCTTATGACGTTCCCAGAGCTGCTGTTTGGGGATCGTGAAGGGAATGAAGGATCGCGCCATGCCTTGGTCATATTCCAACCTGCGATCTCGTGGTCACTGTACTGATGGGTCCACTGGCGCCTCCCTTTATGAGATATGTGTAAGTCTGGAACTATTGTACATGGATTGCCTTCAGCGGTTGAGAAAAAGCGGGACAAACACTTTGGGACATACCATGGACGGGGCACGACTTGTAAAGTCGAAACCTTTGTATAAAAGGGATCCCAATTTAGAGGAAATCTCTCCCTGGCGCCTCTGCGACCGCGAGCCTTGCAATCGCAATGATATTGCAAACAATGGAACATATCGGATCGCATTGGATCATATCAGAATACATCGAAGAAGAAGGGATCGGCGGCCCCACCTGGATGGGAAGTAGTTGACCTCCTCGTCGCGCTTCATGAAGTTCATGAACCCGTCGTGGTGGTTGTTGTGATGGACGCACTGTGGCGCGTTGGCAGGCAGCATGAGGTAGTTGGGGCCCAGGCGGTGGCGCTGCGTGTCGGCGTAGCTGAAGATGCGCGTCTGCAGCAGCTTGTCGTCGGAGTGCGCTATGCCGGGCACCACGAGGGCGGGGCAGAACGCCAGCTGCTCGTTCTCGTTGAAGAAGTTGTCCACGTTGCGGTTGAGGACCAGCCGGCCCACGGGCTGCAGCGGGAACTGGGAGAGCAGAGGAGAGATGAGGCCATCAATCTCCGTTCCATGAAATGATGCTGTTCTATTACAGTTATTCCATCGAGTAATTTAGTCATCGCCATTGTTCTCTTGTTCTTAGCAATCCATGATTCTGTCGAATCCGTGGTGTTGTTGTCTAATGAACTATGTACTGTGTGGCAGTGATACAACTAAAGCGATGATTTTCAGTTGTGTGTTGTTGTTGATTGCTAGACGCTGGTAGTATACACAACAATCACTCTTTCAAGGACCAGAAACCGGAAAAGGAGAATAATGAGAAAATAGAGCAAATGAGCAGAAGAACGAAGAAAGAAACAGAAATGGAAGAGGCATCGCCATCGCTTGGGATGAAACTGGCAGAAAACGCACTCAATCTAGCACTCGAGACAGAGATTAAGACTGAAAACTGAATTGAATAATTCAACTATCGAGTTTTGCAATTAAAGTGAGATGAGGAGTACTCGATAAGATGCCTACGAACAATGACATTCATTTACAGGACATGGTTCTCAGCAGTTTGCGTCACTCAATTGGGACAACACCCAGCCATCAGTCTTCTGTTCGTTGCCCAATACAACACATAAGTTAAAACACTCAAATGAAATCTAAAGCCAGCTTAGTTTCCAAATGGGCATTTCTGCGCGCTGCCACAGGCCCAGGCCGCACCAGATCCTCGGGCCACGTCTTCGTGACGTCCAGCGGGTCGAAGTCAAACTTGTCCTCATCGGCAGGGTTCATGAGCTGCACCAGCAGCTGCCACTCCGGGTAGTCGCCCGCCGCGATGGAGTCGTACAGGTCCTGACTGGCGTGGCTGTGGTTCTTGCCGCCCACCACCACTGCCTCGTCGTCCATCAGACACTTCACACCTGCACAGCCACCCCACGCACGGTCCAAGTTCAGGGAGCTGCCCATGCACTCACAAGGTCAAGGGCACAGTTCCAGCCCCAATATCTGTCCGTGGCCCCAGTGTCATGTTACAAACGACGGTCACTGCAATGTCATGGCTTGTTATTGATTGTCAATGCAACGTCATTGCGCTGCCCAGGCAATGGTTTGGAGTGGTCAGGGAATATTCTGGAGCAGCAAGCCACCAATGCTTGTTCACTGTGAACTATGCTGCAAGATGTGAATTATGTGAATGCTCGTTAGATTCACAGCAGCCAGAGAATCGCATGAACGCTGCAAGAGATGCTCTCATGCTGCACTGCACAGGGCCCCCACAGGATTCGGGTTTTTATCATTGCAAAGGGTATCAGCTAGTTGGGTTCACACTGCTCTAAATCGCATGAACTTACTGAATGCTGTGCATTCTGCAACACACCGCGTATGAATTTGGGGCCAGGTCGCGCAGTGACATCCGCGCTGTTTTGTGAACAGGTCCACTGCATCACCCAAACTCAGTGCTCTGGGTAGGCAGAACAAACACAGATAGCTCTGTGCCTATCAGTGCCTGCAAGGTGCACGTGTGCTGCTTCTCATGGCTTTTCCCAGCTGCAACCCATGCAAGCCTTCCCAAACGTAGTCCAACACCGCATATTCCTGCGCTCAGCGCACAGCCCACACTGAACATGAAAGCCCAGTGCTGCTTTTCCAGGACAGAAAGTACAGCGTGCTGAGAGCTGGTCCCTACAGGGCAGTGCTCACCGCACAATGGCTTCCAATGGAACTTGACATATGTGTCCTTTCCCTCTCGGCTCATGAGCTTGAATGTGTGGACGCCAAAACCCTCCATGTGGCGGTAGTTGAGAGGGATACCAACATCATCGTTCAGGAATGTGAACTACACCCAGAACAAGCCACAATCAATATGAGGCACCACAGCCGTAACAGCACAACAGGCATGCCATCGACATGGGTGGTGCCAAGGCTTAGGATGTTCATGTGCCACGAATCTGTGAAGAATCCTTTAGGCAGGATGGGTTGAGCAGAAAAAGCAACCAGTGGCTAGGTGCAAAGATATTCCGACTGACCATTGGCTGCTCTGAGCTGCTGGGGATGAATGCCACAATTCAGCAAGGTTGATATTGCTGATACTGAGGGGCAAGCACCAATCACACCTCTCCACTTATGAAGGTGAGGGCATCACTTCACAAATGACTGCACCTATCAGGACACATCACTGGTGTACACATACGCAGAAGAAGGCCAGCACATGTGTGTGATTGCTCACCATGTGCAGGCTCTCAGGGTGGTGCGAAAAGAAGTCCATAATACGCCAATTCTGCAGAACAGCACCATGCTCAAGGAAATCAGCATGGGGGTGTTAGACTCCCACAATTCTTTTCTTGGTGGCAGCCCTGGCAACTGGCAATGGGTGGACTGCGTCGCTGCTAGCCAGCAACAACAGACCACATGCAGAAAGTACCGACTATCAGCTGCCACCAAGACAACTGGCAAGGACAGGCTTCGTCTCCTTTGTACTTGTGGGCATTACTTCAGCGAGGTGTGGTACCAGCCACTGCTGCTGTCTGTTCTTGGCTTGAATGGATACAAGCATGCAATTCAAGGGAACATCATGGCTGCCTGCTGAAGCCCTGTCAAGTGCCACAAAAGCTGCCCCAATACTCAAGCAAGACACATGAGCTGCTTGTCTGCTGACAAACATCAACCAGCAGTGCTGGACAATACAGTTGTGCCACTACCCAGACTTTGTTGGAAACCAGTAACTGATGCCGAGACTAAAACAGCAGGCTGGAGAGCTGGTGACCCAATGAGTGCAGTTGACAGGGGCTGCTGCGCAGGACAGATAGGAGGCTATTCGCCAGATTGGCAATGCATTTTACGAGGCAGCCAAAGGAGGTTGCCAGACATTGTTTTGTGTTCAACTGAACTTGGCCTCTTTGGGCCTAAAATTGCAAGCTAAGAAAATAGTTCACCACTGCAGTTCCTCGCCACCACAGAGAACACAGTGCCGGTTCCACAGGTCCACGCCTTCCTACCCACCAAGTTTTGTCACTTCATGCTTGACTTGTGGATGCACTGCCCCAAAACGTCCTACTCGAGGTGTTCTAAGTCCTTGAGTGCAGAATTTCGACTTTCCAACAGTGGCACAAAGTATCACAAAGTACCTGTTGCCAATTTCAATGGCACCCTGGTAGTGTTTCATTCATTTGCTACAATTAGAAAGCCAGAACAGGTACATGAAATGCAGCTGCATGGCTACACACCTCCTGTATGTGGGACCTTGGGTTGGGCTTCAGAGCATGGACCATGTCAGGGAACTTGATGCCATCGCGGATAAAAAACACCTGCAGCATCAGCATCAGCATCAGCTGTGACAGGAACTGTATATAATTGATGGAGCTGATGCACCTCTTTAAGGGGGCAACATAACTAAACAGGCAGGAAGTTCCGCTCACATCTGCAACCAGATATGCTTGACATTGCTTTCGCCCCTGGCGGTGGCGAAACTGCAACACCAAACTCACCGGGAAGTTGTTGCCCACAAGGTCGAAGTTCCCCTCGCGCGTGTAGAACTTTACTGCAAACCCTCTTGGGTCGCGGATAGTCTCTGGTGAGCCCCGCTCGTGAATCACAGTCGAGAAGCGAACGATGACAGGTGTCTGCACTCCGGGCGCTCGAAGAAAGTCGGCACATGTGAGATGAGAGATGTCATGCGTGACCTACGGAAGATGGATGAGCGTGCCGTCACGTGCAGTGTGCCCAAACACTGTGGCCATGGGATGTATTGCTGCTTCAATATCGGAGCATCATAATCTGATGGACTACAACGTCCTCACAAGGGTTGTCATACAAACCACAGCTTCCACATCATCCAGAGACAACGTTGTGCATCACCCCAAAGCTCAGTACAGGTCACTACCTCCAACACATGTGGACTTGCGGCAGATGTTCATTGCCATTTACTTAGTTGCTCGTTCCTTTCGTGGATGCATCGACACAACTCCACTGAAAACATCGTCAATACAGAGTTCAAAAACAGTGTATGAGTGAGACATCCCAACCAGTGCCCCAAGAACACGTCCCTCACAGTGAACACAACTGCCTCTGAAATCCCCTAGAAGCTCACCATGTGCTATAGAAACAAGTCGGCAAAACCATCAGCAGACAATGAAAAGGTCGATGCTTGGCGATTTGAGGCCACACACCATTCAAATTTGCTTCAGGAAATGTTTCGTGAATGGTGCTGTACTTCCTGTGACTTTCTTTGTGACAAACTTACAAGATGCCACCAGGTTCTGAGAGGGACGATGATTGGAACTCCTGTCACAGCTACAAGCAAATGCCCATGGTCCACAATTCAAGTGTCCAATCTCCACAACATAGAATGGATGTGTTGCCAAAGTACCTGTGCAACTGTTGCTGTCCTAACGGTCCACCACTTGCACCCCAGGCGCTCACCCACCCACACACCGGTTCATGGTCGCTGGCTTGCATTGCCTTTCACTGAGGTGAATGGGCACACTCCTGTCAAATTTTGGACAATCTCTACTGAAACATACTTTGAATCGGACGCCACCCTAAATGTTCCTGTTCCACTGACAGGATTCCAGCGTTTAATCTTCCTGCCACAGTGCACCATCCCCTGTTTCGCCCATATTTCCAGGTTGAGAATCTCAGGAGGGCCCCTACCCCTCACACCCCACCCACACCAACTGCTTGATGTGGGCAATCCAGGTCCCATTCAGGGTATGACAGTCAAGCTCATGGCCACATGTCGAGATGTATCAGCCTGGTCTGCACACAAATCTCCCCAGCGTGGACATTCCACACAATCTGGCCAACATCGTCCACCAAACCCCCGCCCTGAACCACACACTGCCATCAGCAAGCCTCACCTCGAAAAATCCTTTGGCTGCTGCGCCCCTCGCATGCACCACCCGCTCCGGGATCCTCTCGCGGTCGAACTGTGCGAGCTTCTCCAGCAGGTGGTAGTCCTCCAGCAGGATGGGCCCCCGGGCGCCCACCGTCAGCGAGGAGTTGTTGTTCCACACTGGCTGGCCCGCGTTGGTGGTCCAGTGCTGCGAGTTGTAGCCCGAGCTGGGGCGGTACTGCGGCGGTCGCCAGAAAGGAGGACGGGGTCAGGCGATGGGCACGCTCGGCGCAGCGTCGAAGGCACGGCAGCCCAGCGCGATTTTTGCGTACCCCAATGGCATGCTCTTTCCAAAGGCTGGCTTGCCGCACGAAGCAGGAGCAACGAATGTCGTTGAAGCTGACGGGGATATCAGAGGCGAGGAGCTGAGCACACGATTTGGCTCCCTTGGGAGTCAGGGGGGTTGCGCGGCATCACGGCCAACGGTGCGGCGCTTGTGTGGTTTCAGCGACGGTTGTGATGGTAGAGAAGAGGCCATACAAAAGGCGCCATGCCTGGATTTCGAGGCACGCCATCCCCCCCTTCGCTCTCACATCTCCTTTCAGGCCAAGAGCGGGAATTGCCTCGTCCCTCGCTGGACAATCGTTGCGCCAACTGTGCCTCATCAAAACCAACAGTGGTACATTTCACTTCGTGAGGACAAGGCCGTTGAACAAGTCTCCGAGCGCAGCGAAAGATCAGTGCATCGAGGAGAACTGCCGGCGGCAGGTGCGGCTGCGCCGCGGCAGACATTCGGGGGCAGCAGTTGCCTTGGCACGCCCAAGCCCCTGCGGCGCCAAAACTTCCGGCGGCCATCCCAAAAAATGATTCTCCCTCAGGCCAACACCTCCGGTCCCCAGGGCAGCCGCGATTCGCGCGAGCGCGGCGAGGCGCACTTTGCTTCCCGCCCCTCGATGATGGCAGAACGCCGACCATCGCACCGGCGGGCGCGCTTCAATCAAATCGGGGCCGCCAGCGCTGTTCAGCGGCGCGGGGAGACCCTGCTCTGGCGGTGCTGCGCCAATCGATCCAAAAGCGCTGAGCACGAGGAGGCCATGGCGTGTGCATCCCCTGACATGCGACGGCACCGCAGCTAGCCCCCCCCCCCCTCCCCCCCCGGCCCACACCTCCCTTGCCTCGTAACCCGGCAACCGCAAAATCTGCGCCAAGACAATCTAACAAGACGCATGCGGCGACCAAAACCGCAACAACCAGCACTCCCTTTCGGTGATTTTCATCAGACCCCGGGATTCAAACAGCGGGCGAATTTGGGACATCGTGCCCCGCGCCTTGGGCGGCTCCTCAAGGCGGGAGGCAGCCGCGTGGTCGGCGCAGGGAGCCCACCTTTGCTGGATCCATCGCGAGTGGAGAGCCCCCCGACCGCGACAAAGGCAGCGGGGGAATGAATGCTGAGGACGGGGGCGGGTGGAGAGCGTGGTGGCGGCGGGGTGGCGCGGGGTCTGGGGGGTGGCGGGGCCGGCTCCGGGTGTGTTTTTTGTGGCTTGGCCCGGGCCCAAGGCGACGGCGCTCGGCGCGGAGCGACGTGGAATCCACACGCGGGCTGACTAGGAGGCTGACATGGCACCCAATTAGTCGCACTGTCCATTATTTACAGGCACGTCAACAACAGTGCCAAAGCCTGTCCGCCCTGTCGTTTCCATGAAGATCACTTGTTTGTTTCGGACACCCTAACCACTAACCAACCACTAACCACAAACCACAAACCACTAACCCACTGACCGGCATTGGCCTTGTCAGCGGAAGAAGCTGCAGTCCACACGAAAGACGGATGGTGGCATTCTGGGTTCTGGTAACCTTCTGGGTTTTGTTTCTGTGCTTCCTTTCTGTTTTGGTGTGTGTCTGCTTCTTGTGGTTTACTTTTTGCTGCGCTGTCTGCCTGGGGTTTTCTTGAGCACCCCTTACGCTTTTACCTTGGGCACACTCTGTGGTTTTTCTGGGACATTCCATGCTTTCCTTTCGTTTTGCTCGCTCTCTTGGGACATTGCTGTTCGGTTTTGATTTCTGCTGTGGACTCTAGTGCCTACATACCTCTGGTGCAAGGGCTTTGGCAGAAACATTGCTTTGTTCTGCATGTAATCATGGAATTACACACGAAAGACGGAGGCACTAATACATTCTGGGTAAACAAGGTGGGATCCCCGCGAAAAGATAGGGTCACTCATCTCATGCCGCGGAGGAGCCGGTTTCCAGCGCGGCTGCGTGCTGGCGAGAATGTAGTCCCTCTGTCTTTGGCATACAATAATTGTATTAGTCCTAGCCTCAATTTTAGGGTTAGGTTTAGTTTTATGGTGAGTTTTAGGGTTAGGGTTAGGGTTAGGGGATTTTGAGTTTAGGTTTGGGGTTTAAGGTTTAGGTCCTAGGTTAGGTAAGTTTTTTTGGGGGGGGGGTGCAAGCAGTCACCGATTTGGTGCAGGCAGTTGCATTATTTCTCTGTCTTTTCCATGAGGATCCCTTCTTCTTCCGCTGACAAGGCCAACGACGGTCAGTGGGTCAGTGTTTTAGGGCTTAGGGTATCCGAAACAAGAAGGTATCTTCACGGAAAAGACAGATGGACTGATATCATGCCCGTGCTGGCGTTGGTGCTTGGTTGAAAGATGCTTTGGCAGCAGGTCGGAGCACGTGGTTGATGTTCCACCGATGATCTTCTCGGTGAATCCAAAACGTTCGTCGTTCCAATGTTGTTGCCGTTGTGATATTTTTGTCAACAGATTTGGGCAAGGGTGAGGGGGCACGAAATGTCTGGGGGAAGCGGTTGATGATGCCCTCCCCCAATGGCCCTGCGATCTCACATGCCTTGGGACTCTCGTTGGGTGGGCCGAGGGATACTGTGATCGGCCGCACGCAAGCAGCCATTGATCTGTGATGCCAAGAAACAAATCGTGTTGAGCTGGGCGTGGATGCAGCCCCAAGATGTCCTTGTGGCCTTCCACGCCCGTGTAAGCCTCGCCGCTCCGAGCATATTTTCAATGCGAGTTCCTGGTTCACTGTGGTTCCGCCAGTACTGCTGACCCGTCGATACGGACGGATACGGTCAAAGGTGCTCAGCAGCTGGCCGTTGGTCGCAACATCCCCACCCTGCAGCCACGGGGATACCCTGGCTGCGTGGACAAGCATCGAATTTGGGTAGACAGGTCCCAACGCACTGTTTTCGAATCCGGTCAGTGCCAAACATCAGCGGATGTGCGTGAACGCCACTTGCCTCCAAAGCTGGAGCACACCTTTCTTCAATTACAGCAATGCAAAAGAAGGCGCTCCAGGTCACCAATAACAAAACCATCAACCGCTGTTTTCCCCCATCCAACCTTTAAAACTCAAACCCTGAAAGCACTTGTGCCTCCTGACTAGGCTGCGCCAGGCCCAACAGCAAAATTGTATCAACAGTCTTCAATTACAATTCACACTGGCCCTTGCGAGCTCACAGTGTGAACATCAAAACTCAAATCCCGTGTTTGCGCCCACGTGACCTCACTCTAATTGCCACATCAGCAGATGAGCCCACGCCGTTCTGTCGGTGGCGCCGTCGACGCATCTACTGCCGGCTCTCCCGTCACGAGGGCAGCCAATGCGAAGTTGCCTGTATCAATTGCACGCATTCGGTGTGGGTAGCTGGCAACAGCTTGAATCGTTGGACAGCAATCGCCCACACTTCCCATACAGCCCATGACCACCGAGACACAGCGAAAGCAATGAAGCAGAGATAATAATCCAGACACAACGAAGTGGCCGAGGCGCCGTTGGTGGTATCCAAGCACAGAGGTCCGCATGAAAGAGACCTACACAGGTAAAAGGCCATCACGCCAAGATTCGTCCACTTGGGCAAGGCATACAGCTTTCACCTGCACGCAGCATACAGATTTCACCTGCACGCACAATCGAATGTACGACGCGCATAGTCTGCGCATCCACTCCTGTGCCCATCCCTAAACCTACCCATGTTCCAGTCAAAACACGACCTGTTAGGTTCAAAGCAGCGAACTGCAATCCCGTTAAATGCCCTATCCCTCAAACCTTGCACCCTCCTCTCCACACTACACAAGTGCCCAAGCCTGCCCCAACCAGGGCTGTCAATTTTCAGCTTGCACGTGCCCACAAATCAGTAGTCGCTCGGGTTGCCATTCATTCACCATCAATGCACAGCTGGGCCTCAAGGTGCCACATGAGCACCTAACCCTTGCAGGAGCTCGGTGCCAGCGGTCTAGCACTGCCCTCAACTGAACTGCCGTACTGCCGTACTTTCGCTGCATCTTGGCAAGTCGTGATTTCGCTCTCCCTACGATCTAGCTGTTGCCGATGGAGCCCCGTCGTGTGAGTTCCAAGTTGTCCAAGGATCGCCGAAGGCCTCGGTCGCCACCAGCCAGTGAACGCACTGCCACCTTCACCTACAAAGCGAGCAGCTTGATTCAGAGCACTACACACCCGTAGCTGCACATCACAAACATTGCGACAAGCACTGTCCCACTGAAATCGTGGCTGCTGAAAATGCCAAATGGTTGAGTTGGCTGGGCAGGGAAAATGAAGGCTATGACTTGTGGCATCTTGTTGGATTCAATTGCCCTCCTCTGGTTCCTGATGAACATGCCCCATTTCGAACCATGCACAGCAACAGCACGTGAATTCCCACCAAATGCATTCCGAATATTCATGATTTCAATGATTTGACAAATTCTGCAGGAATTATCATTCAGCCTTCTTGTTCCAGCATACAACACATTTTCGAGGCAACCTACTTGTGGCAATCAAGTGTATAATGGTTGTTTGATTCTTACGAATGGAGGCTGTGAAGATACAACAAACATTCACCTGTCCCAGATATTTTGCAGATGCTATGCCGTGCTAGACACCTGACATTTTCTGGATATTCTGAGGCTCTTGTTACAACTTGTGCACAGCATTCCACCTTTCATCTACTAGGTGGCATATCATTGCGTGTCAGCCTTTGCTAAATGCAGCCAGTGGTTTGGCACACAAAAGCAACGCTGACCCTTCCAACCACTGACCGATCCACACATTTCATACTGTTGTTCATGAGCACGGATCTGGCTCCTAACTGGAGATGAGATGCGCTACGTGTTGGTGTCGAATACTCCACACAAATATTCCTGCCAACGGCAACAACTGTGACAAGTGTACCTTCCATCTTTCCACTGGCTTCTGGTGGAAGATTCTGGACTTACTCAGGCCATCAGACTTTGTCAATATCAACAATGAACTGCCACACAATCAAATCGCCACTGCCAAACATGACCACTCTTCTTTGAAGCCTCCAAACGTCTTCCACTTATTGCAAGCTGAAAAGGCCCGTATCTGTTACAGCAGCCAGGAGCAATAACCGATCTCTGGACTCGATGTCTCGTTTTGGAATGAACAGAGCAACTAAGACACTGCATCTGGCAAAGTGGCACAAGGGCAAGTGCTGGCCGGCAAGCCTCCCAACCATGCCACCCAAAAGAGAGCTTAAAACCAGCAAGACGCACCTTCCCGACAGTGCCAGCGTGCAGCAGCTTGTGCTTGAGGGATACGGCACCTAGCAAGGGTGCGCCTGCATCCCCCGACTCTGTGACATCGACCTGCACACCCACCAGGTAGACCACCTCGCCATCTGCACCGCGCACGGGGCTGATGTGCAGATAGTTCCAGAATGGCGTTCCATCATAGCGATAGTTGAGGAGGGTAGCGGTGACAGGTTTGGGCGGTTGGGCAGCGACAGCAGCGCGCACCTTGGCCACTGCCTTGGGGTCAGTGTCCATGCCTTGGAGGAACCTGCAGTTGTAGCCTATTACCTTGTCCCTGCACACAGTTTCATTCCCTCCTTGATTCCGAAATGTTGCATCATATTCAAGAGCACATTGCTTGCATCAAGGATACAAGCTGGATGCATTACATTGGTACGAGTCGGCCATTTAGCGCAAAGGGAAAAAGAACGATTTGACTGCATCAGTCGGTTGTTTGAACTGGTTATTCGAAGTAAATAAACCAGATGGATTTGTTGGATGCAATCAGATTTTTAGTTAGATTATCCATCTGGAAATGACCAGATTAGGTGCCCATTTTCAACAGCAATGCAAAAACTGATTGAATGTGCACACACACGGTGCATGCATGATACAACCTGTATTGTTGGAACAGTGAAACAGATCGTAAATTGGATCAACTCTGCCTACTCATGCAAGCAGCAAAACCTATTGTGCTTGCAATATTGTAGCTACCACCGTGACAGGAATGATTCAAAAGCAGGACATAGGCACTGAAGCAACAGCATATACTCCAGTGGCGTCTGCTTGTGCGTGTGTCCAAATCATTGGCTGCATCAAACAGCAACAAAGGTTCGCATTTATGTGCAGGGCGATGGTTGGCACCACTGCTGCATGGCACACAAAAAATTTGACCCTATATTGTTGAAGAAGGTGTGGAGCACTTGACTAATGCTGCACTGCATGAATGTTTTGGATTCATATTGAATAAGCATTTTTGGCAAACTGTTATCTGTTTGTGGGGAGTGCCCAGCACTGACAAGAGAAGCACAAGCTAGCATCCTATCACAACTGGTATGAAGCAATTCCTTTGAGAATACCTGTTGGAATGCATTGGAACATAGACCCCGAACCTTGCTTCAGCATCTGCATGTATTTGGTGCATGTTTGTTACAATTTGTTTGCTACAAAAGCACCTGTGCCTGCAAGGCGTTGCTTGCCACAGGGTGAAAACCGCCATTGCCCCAAAAGATGCCCAGTGAAAATAAACATGTCAACAAAAATCGCTCATTGCACTGACCTTGGGTAGCCTGTCAGCTGCAGGAACCCCTGGCCAGCATGCACTATTGGCATGTCCGGCCCGTTGGGGTCCACCAGCACCAGTGACTGCTGTATGTTGGCCAAAGACTGCAGAAGGGAAGTTGGAAGGATGCTGCATTCGCCCTGGGGGGAAGCTCCTGCGCCTCCCAGCTCTGCCACACATGCACACATGTCATCATTGGTGCACGATGTGGACTTGAATGGACTTGACCTTGCATTGCTGCACACCAAATGTTTGGATTATTCAGCCCAGGAGACAGCATTGACCCCAAGCCAGGACGGTTCCCAAATTTGGTTCTATTTTTTAGTTAGCAACGTTTCTTTACATTCCTGTTTCTTGCTTGGAGATATGCCAGCATGGAAAAGGGGCACAGTGCCCTCTGGTGTCTGTG